TTGATTTGCATTTCCCTATTGGCTAATGATGCTGCTGTTTTTGATATGCTTGTTAGTTATTTGTATATCTTCTTTGAAGAAATGTCTATATAGACCCTTTTCCCATTTTTAAATTAGGTTAATTGTCTTTTTATTATTGAGATGTGAGAGTTTTATATCTATTCTACATATAAGTCTCTTATCATATATGTGATTTGTGAATAATTTTTTCCCATTCTGTGAGTTGTCTCCTTACTTTCTTTCTTGATGATGCCCTTTGAAGCACAAAAGTTGAGAAAGTCCAATTTACCTATTTTTCTTTTGATGCTTGTGGTTTTGATGTCATATGTAAGCAGTCTTCCTAACTCAAGGTGACAAACATTTATTTCCATGTTTACTTCTAAGAATTTTATAGTTTTAGCTCTTACATTTTGTTCTATGATCCATTCTGAGTTAATTTTTATATATGGTGTAAGGCATGTCCTGACTTTATTCTTTTTTCCTGTGGATACCCAGTTGTCTCAGTAATATTTGTTGAAAAGACTATCTTTCCCCCTCCCCCTATTTAACTGTTTTGGCACCTTTGTTGAAAATTCGCTCAGCTTCTTGAATCTGTAGGTTTATGTCTTTCACCAAATTTCAGAAGTTTACAGCTATTATTTCTTTGAATATTTTTTTAGCCCCACCTTCTTTCACTCCTCCTCCCGGGACTCTGATTTCACAAACGTTACATCTTCCGTGATAGTCATTTAGTTCCATGAGACTCTGTTCATTATTTTTTTTCTTAGTCTAATTTTTCTTTTGTTAGACTGAGGAATTTCTGTTCTTCTGTCTTCAAATTCCCTGATTCTTTCCTCTGTACCCTCCAACCTGTTATTAAACCCATCCATTTAGTTTTTTGTTTTGATTCTTGTATTTTTCAGTTTGAAATTTCCATCTGTTTTTTCTTTACATCTTCTATTTCTTTGATAAGTCTGTTTTTTCATTTGTTTCAAGTGTTTTCATAGTTGCTCACTGACACATTTTTATGATATCTGCTTTAAAATCTTTGTCAGATAATTCTAACATCTCTGTCTTCTCAGTTTGCATCTATTAATTGCCTTTTTTCTTGCAGTTTGAGATCGTTCCAATTCTCAATATGATGAGTGATTTTCATGAAACCTGGACATTTGGGGTATTATGAGATTTGGTATCTTATTTACATCTTCTCATTTAGCTGGCTTTTTCTAACACGGTGTCGGCAGGGGAAGTGGGGGCTGGAAGCAGGCGTCACCTCATTGCTGCCAGGTTGAAGGAGAAATCCAAGTTCCTCACTTGGCCTCCACTGACACCAAAGATGAGAGGCTCCTCATTATTGCCCAGTAGTGATCAAAGTCCTGGATCCCTACTTCACCTTCTCTGACCACCCTTGGAAGGAGGGGTTGTGGCACCTTGTTACAGCCTGGTAAGGGTGGGAATGTAGGCTCTCCACTAGGCCTTTGCTGCCATGAGTGGGGTGGGGTCACAATTCTTTACGTAGTTTTTGGCTGGAGTAAACAGTTATTGTCTAAAATTTTTCTGTCTGCTATGCTGCCCCTTCAGATAGAGAGAGCCATATTTTGACGGGGATTTTTTTGTTTTGTTTTTTTTTTGTCTGTGCTATTGGTGTTTCCAGGTTGGCTGACTTATTAAGTTTCAAGTCTGTGATGTCTGAGGCAAAAAGAACACCAAGAGAATTAACCGTCATGCTGCTCCTTGAGTCCCAAGGTTCCTAGTTCATCTGTCTTCTCTCCACCGTTCAGAATCTTCTTATGCGTGTTTTATATATAATGTTCAGAACTAATCAGTCAAACTTGTTGGGAGAAATAGGGAAAAGTATGTTTACTCCATCTTCCCAAAAGTGGAAGTCTAGATCTTTTTATAAATAGAATCATATTTTAATCACTAGGATGTATTAATAGTTAAAGGAACTTTGCAGTTAATTCTTTCCCAGTTACTAATAACTCCCTAATTTAAATTTTTTATAAATTCAACATTATATATTGGGTTCACTTTAAATGAGAAATGCCTATAGATTATTTACACATTTCTGAATATTGGCTATAACTTTCCTCATTCAACATTCGAATTAAATTGAATTAAATTCTTCTAAATAATTACTTAAAAATTTTTTTTTCCAATCTGAGGATGCTTCAATGGGATGGCAATTCCTTAAACTATCTAGTATTAAATAATATAATGAGAATTCCCATGTCTTTCCAGAAGTATAAATAAAAACAATATTTCTCAGAAGTATTCTACAGGGTGTCCCAAAAGTCGCCATACATAGGGCAAATGGGAAATTGTAGCTAAATGTACCTTTATTTATGACAAATTTTGTAATGAATATTTTGTAAATAAAGATACATTTAGCTACAATTTCAAATTTGCCCTATGTATGGCAACTTTTGGGACACCTTGTATTTTAGAAGCTCGCCTGTATCTAAAAGATTACTTCACTTCTCCTTACTGAGTTTATATATTCTTACCAACAACTGCCTACTAAAGATATTTATTTAACAATTTTTGTACTTCCAGACCTATTTTTTTCTATAGCCATTCCTCCTTCTCATACATCTGCTCTTTTATTTATATTAATGCCTAGTAATACTTTCATTTATTGCCTTCTAACAATCTGCCTGGCATTCTCCTTAATGATCTCTTCATATACTTTATCTTATTTAATTCCGTTTAAGACAAAGACAGTGAAGTTCAGAAAAACTAAGCATTCATAAGTAGTAAAGCCAGCACTTACATACAGGTCCTCCACCTCCAAACTTCACACTTGTTTTGACAATGCTACATCTGACAAAGTAAGCACCTTTTCCTTCCTAGATGAAAGTTTATAGGTATGCTTTCTTCCTTAAATGCTATTTTGTAACTTCTAATATTCTTGATTTTTATCTTGGTCAATTTTTCACCTAAGAAAAAAATTAATACAGAAATTAAAAATATAAGAGATCTATAATAGATTTTAAAGTTAACAAAGTTTATTTACTATTTTTAAGTTCAGTATAAGTCACTTAAAAATATCAACAATTCTTCGAAGTTTTACAAAATGGGAATTATATTGGGGTATTATATTTGGGTATAAAGAGAAAATCCTACTGGATAGCTGCTATTATATGTGCAAACTGTACAAAGAGAAACAATAACAAGAAAAGAAAAATAAAATAAGCCATGTTAATAAATCCTTGTTCATGGTAAGAAAATTTACTGTTTAAAACATGTGTTTTTAATTTAACCTAGGTGAGACAAAGGGCTACATGTGTAAGCATCTTTATTGAACACAGAACTATCATACATTAACATTCTCATTTGCTGTCATTTAAATTTTACGAAAGAATATTTAATTTGCCTAATTTAATTTTACAACATCTGATAATCAAGATTTTTTTCTTTCAAAAGATTTTGGCTGATAAATCCTGTCACGCTAAATAATACTTCACTTTTTTTTCAATTCATTTCAATTATTTACAAACTATTAATCAGGTGAATTCTTTACTAATTACTTAGTAGTTCTTTACATCTGTCATTACTTGCTAATCCTTCAGATTTTTAAAATATTCCTGTTTTTTTCTTTAGCAAAGTAGAATGCAAATATCACACATCCCCTGATTTGTACAGATCCCTATTCCACGATGTAACTTTTCAAATGCAGAAATAAGCCCTGTTTGTTCTTTGAATAAATATACTTATTCTGGGTAAAATATTCCTGCAGATATACTAACCTACTATTAAGGAAGCTTTATATAAATTTTTTTTTTTAGTAACTTATTCCTGTTTGGGGACCACTTTTTGATGTACACTGCTGGATCCGATTACTATCAAATTAACATTAGAAAATGTTGAAATCGTATTTTAGTTATTTAAAATATTTTCCCTTGCTAAGTTCAATTTCCCACTGATAAAAAAAGGTCCTTTTAGTCTTAAAATTTAAGTTAAAGAAACTAGTTGTTCCTGTAAAATGGTTATTGTTACCAATGAAAATTAACAGGTTTATTAACAAATAAACTGTCTTAGTAAAAATTAAAAAACACTTTCTAGTATTAGATACTGTAATTTTATCTAGAATATACCTGGAAGACAACAATGGCTACACATTTTCAAAACATATACAGCACTTTCAAGTAAGATAGTCGAAACTGCTGGCATTTGATTGATCATGTGAGGAATACTATCACCGGCATCATCACCTTAGAAAATAAGAATCACCTAGCTATGCAAATTTTAAATATTTATATACAGTAAATTTATATATGAATAATCTGGGGGAAGAGAACTCATATTTATCTATTCATTACCATCATTACAGAGGTATAAAAACGTCTACCTCTCCCATTTTGAATTATTTACCGTTCGGAAAATAGAAGACATTTTAATTTCTCATGATGGCCGGTTAAGGAGAGAAGGGCTTGTTATTTCGAAGAACAAGAAAATACAGGTTTATATGAATACACACCTGGAGACATAAGACAATTTTATAAATCATTTAATTTTAACTATAATTTACATGCTAGATAACAGCATGCCTCAAAAGGCTATTTTGTACTAAGCAGGCAGCCATCCGCCCACATCTATCTGCCGAAGCCATTTCTGCTTTTAATCAGAGACGTTGGAACTGTATTATTGTGAGATATGTTCGGTGTTGAGTAGGCCCCCAGGGCACGGCTGTCACTTGGTGGGTTATGGAGGGGTACGGAAGTTAGGCTGGGGTAGGGTCGTCCTCCTAGGAGGGCCCTGCACAGCCCCTAGGAAACCATATTTGCAAGCCATTTTGCTTGCTGCCCCACCGCGCCAGGCAGCGTCTGCAGCGGCTGCGGCCGCGAGCCAGAGGCTCAGGCCAGCGCACCGACCGCAAGGGGCGCGAGCATTTGTGAGCCCCGGGCCGGGGCGAAGCCCGAGGCTGCAGAGCACACTTAGAAACCGCTGCCGCGGACCCCGCGGGCCCAGGCCGCAGTTTTCCCAGCCCCGCCGTCGTTGCCAAGGCGACCGCCGCCGAACGTTCCCGCGGCGGGCCCCGCCCCCCGGCCAATCGGACCAGCGCTCGCCAAAGCCCAGATTCTCTTTGTTCCGCAGCCATTTCGGGCCCCGGACAGGAGGCGACGCCGCTTCGGCAGAAGGCCCGAGCGCCCGAGGCCTCTGGGATGGTGTGGGACCGGGTAGGTTGCGTGAGGGTGCGCGGCCACGGACTGGAGGGGCGGGAACAGAGGCAGGGAGTTCCGAAGCTGCCTGACGCGCCAGGCGGGGAGCCGCCGGGCTCGTCCGCCTTCCTGGTGCCCGCCCGGCCGTTTGGAGCCCGGCGGCGGCGGCGGCGCGGTTCTAAGCCCAACAGCTGCCGGCCCGGGCTCACTGCAGGACCCGGGTAGGGGGCAGGAGGCGGCGGCTCCTCAGGTGTCCGAGCCAAGGGCCTGGAGACGGTTAGGGGCGGCGGGAAGAGAAGGATCTGATGGCCGGGGGAGCTTTTGCCCCGCCTGTTGAGCCGCAGCGTTTGAGGGCCCTTGGGTGCTGCAGTCTGCCGCTCTGGGACGGCTGCTTCCCGCCGGTTCTGGGCACTGTCGGGCGTTGCTTGAAACGGGCCCGTCTTTGTCCTGCCCCAGTCCCCTTTGCCCAGTGTCCCGGGTCCGCACACACCAGCTATCGTCTTCTCATTCAGCTTGCTGATCTGTTTCTCCCGGCGGTTCTTTCCCCTTGGGGCCTCTTGGCCTTACGACATGTTTACATAATTTTAATGTTTGTAACCGTATGAATTTTGCGTGGGTTTGTGGTTTTTGCACTTCTACCCCTGCTCCCTCGCGTACCCGCAACGGGGAACAACTGCTGAGAAACAGACCGGCCACCACAATCAAAGTGTTTTGAAAATGGCTTTCTTCCTTTAAAAATGATCCCATGTTGTTTACTGATTTTAAAAGTCAGTATGAATGTTGCAAGGATTGCTTACAGTTTAAGTCCGTTATCTTAATCACTAATCAATTTGGTCCAACAGCAGATGTACATGTAGAAATTTGAAATTGAAATCTATCCATAAATTCATGTGACAGTTGTATTAAGAAGCTTAATAACTGTCCTGCTTTGGAACAGCAATGACTTAAATGATGAGTACCTAAGTGCTACTTTTTTTAAAAGGTATTTTTTAATTGCAAGATATATGGTGTAATAGGTATTTGGAAATGAAGGTTGTAAAATGGCTGTCCTGACGTGCTCATTTCTAGGATAACAAAACTTCCTGCTGGATTTTAAGTTTTCGTGTTATATCAAAGCTTTCATATTAGAGTGGTAAATAAGTTATATTTAGTGAAAGGGAAAGGATTCAGTTTTTTGGGAAAAGATGCCATTTTCCACTTTTCCCCTACCCTGCAGCCCAATCATTCCTAGCGAATGGCTGCACCAAGTTGAAAACTTGCAACTGCAAAAGGGAAATATTAGTTTGAAGGTGCAGATTTCTTTTTTACTCCCTGGCATATGCAGTGCATAAATGAATAGTAGTTTGGCAGTACAGTTTTTACTTCATGTAATTTAATGTGAGCCTAGTGAAGTATTAGTGTTCCATTTTCTTTTTCCTAAAAGGGGCCTCCACCCTGGGATTTTTGCATCTTTGTCCTAGTCAGGAATTATTAAATTCCTCCCACTGAAGTAACTATAAAAATCTTTTTTGCAATTCTACCTTCACTCCCAAATGGTTTATTTTCCATTATATAATGTGAGCAGAATAAGATTTTGGTAAAATACGATATATGATTCTGGTTGTAAATTTTTCCATATCAACACTTGTTATATTCTTTGTTTTTATGACTGTGGTTTATTTATGTAATGTTAAAGCCATCACATGAGCTCCATTTTTCTAATTGCTGTAAATGAACTACTGCATTGAAATGTAAATGCCCTATATTTAGAAGAAGTTCTTGCATTTTAACCATATTGGATTCTGCAAACATAATTTTTTTAAAAAGAAAGAAATCTGGTTATAAAAGCAGCCAAACCAAGTGACATATGTAATGAAGTAAATTTATCAAATATAAACTGCAGAGAGGAGCACAGCAGTAAATGGGAGTAATTTTTATTGGTCAGGGTATAAATTATGAATATTTCTTCCTGAGATTGACATTTGAATGCATATTCATGCCAAAAAGATCTTGTTTCCTTCAAAACAGTTTGGTTTACCTGTAAAAGGGTGAGAAAGCTGAAAGAAGCAAAATGATTGATTAACTGATGAGGTTTTCAAAAACAATGGAAAACAATGCCATCTTCAAAGAGGAGGGATCAGAAACAGTGAAATTTTCCCGAATGTTGAGGATCTTTCTTAGTTGGTCCTTTTCAGTAAGTGCCATGGTAGATACCTGGTGATTGTTGGCAGGTGAGGGGTCTCCTGGGATGTAGAGGGGTTGAACTTCACAGTGGAAGACAGATGTTTGCAATAGTGATGTCTTAGTCAGTTTTGTGTTTCTGTAAAAGAATACCTGAGACTGGGTAATTTATAAAGAGAAGAGGTTTATTATTTTAGCTCGTAGTTCTACAGGCTGGGACCTACAAGAAGCATGGCACCGCCATCTGGTCGGCTTTTGGTGCTGTGTTTGTAAAACGCTGGAGAGGGTCAAGTGGAAGCAGACACACAAAGTGGGGGAAACCTGAGGGGGTCCTGGCTCTGTAACAGCCTACTCTCAGGGTACTAATCCATTCCTATGAGAAGTAATCCAGTCGAGAGAGAGAGAGAGAGAGAGAGAATTCACTAAGGAGAGAATAGCACCAAGCCATTCATGGAGGATCTGCCCTCCTAACCCAAACGCCTCCCAATAGGCCCCCCTACCAACACCGCCACTTTGGAGATCAAATTTCAACATAAGTTTTGATGGGGACAAAGAAACCATATCCAAACCATAGCAAATGGAGACAGTGTTTTGTAGTTATATTGGCTGGGTGATAGTGTAGGAAAGGTTGTAGAAACCAAGTTTGGTTGGTTTACTCCAAAACCTCCACTGCTAGATAGGGTTCCTTGAAGTATTGTCTGCTGGTGTAATCAGAAAGAATGTTAGAGTTCCAGAATGTCAGTGGTCAAATGAGCTATTGAAACCGGAAATGGGGATGCATATTTGTCTTGGAATTTTCTATAGTAGATAGAAGTTGTATGGAAATGGTGGCTACATGTTATTCCAAAAAGGCACTCGATGGCAGAGCAAATACGTGAACTCAGTACTGAAAGAAAGCTGATAACTGTGAAGACCACAAGGATTGGATTGATATGTATACCTTTTTAATGGTTAAAATTTTAAAACAAAGCAAAACTTAAGTGTAGTTTAGAAAATAGGCGTTTTAGAGCCAGCCAGGCAACTTGGATTCAAATTTTGGCACCTTCTGTAATTATTTGTGTGACCTTGGGCGAGTTACTTAATCTCACTTTTTTTAAATCTCATAATGTCATGAGGATTAAATGAGTGAATACAATAAGCTCTTAAAACTGGGCCTGGCATGTAGTAAGTATTCCATAAATAACAGCTGCTATTATCAGCAATGTCATTATCCTTGTTAATTATATTAGAAAACTATAGAAAATAACCATAAAATAATGCAAATCACCAATACCAGGACTGTATGATAACTACTATAAGCCTTTTGGTGCATTTCCTTCTAATATTTTTTTCTGAGTTTATTGGATTTTTTTCATAGTTGAGACTTTACTGTATGAATAATTTTGTATTCTGTTTTTTCCATATGCTGTTGAATTATTTTGTCATCATTGTTAAATTATTGCATAATGTTTGTGTGACTGTCTCTTTATTAAACAGTTTCTAAATTTTTTTCAGTTATAAGAAACACTGCAATGAACATCTTTGTGTATAAAATAATTTCTGCATTTCGGATTGTTAAGATAGATTCTTCAAAGTGAAAATGTTGAATCAAAATATGTGAACATCCAAAGTTCATGGTCCATGTTGCCAAGTTGCTTTTACTTAAGGGAATTTAATAATGAGCTTAAAATAAAAGGAGGCAACATAGTATTTATTGCTCCTGTTGCTTGGGATAGGAGGGAATAGAGAGTGAGTTAACATTTTTTTCTTGTAATGTACTAGACATCATTTGTAGGCATTTAGTATACATTTTTTTAGGTACATTATTGTCATTTATCAACATGGCCTTGTGTTATACATGGGAGTTACTTCGATTTTATTGATAGGAGAGAGGATAGGTAAGTACTTTGTACAAGGGCTCAGAATATTCAAGCCTGAATCTGAATCTAGATCTGCCTGATTACAAAACTCCTGCTCTTTTATTTGCATACTTTTATGTAATATACATATCTGTATTCAGAATCTTATAGTGTCACAACTATAGATCATAGACTACATTATTTTATTTTATTTTTTTTTGAGACAGAGTCTCACTCTTTTTGCCCGGGCTAGAGTGAGTGCCATGGCGTCAGCCTAGCTCACAGCAACCTCAAACTC